TTTTTTTTTTCAAATCAGCCATAATTTCGGAATAGTCATGAATCTGAATCGCTGTATGCGCTGTGTAACTGACCTGAATTTACTAGTTTGCATCTTCGGCTCTTTACTTTAGGTCACTAGCTAATGTTGATTTTGTATACTTTAATAAGGTGCAAATTAAAATCCTTCATAAATCACATAATCGTTCACTGTTTAATTTGAGGCATCACGTAAAGCAGCTAGACATGGGCAAAGGGGATTGCCTAGTACCCGCCGCAATTCGCTAATGAACTTTTGCCCAACGTATAAAGCAAAACTTTTTTTTCAAAATCCCTATTGCACTATTCATAGATCCTAAATTTTTCTTGCGCTTTTTGTATAACCGCTTAGCACCACGGACAATGCGGGAACTGTTTGGGAAGACAGTGAGTAAAGTCTGTACTTTATTATAATACTTTTTTGAACAATCCAATGTACACACAGTAGCAAAATCCGCACTTACGATTTGATCCCTTTTAAAGTTACCGACGCTTACTGGAAGTGTGCGCGACAGTAATAAAACTGATGTTAAAGTCATTTGTTCTATGTAATTCGCTTTCCACAACGTAATATGTCGAACTCCATGTGACTGTCAAATTATTCTTAGTTGCAAATGGTGGATTCAGGAAGGAATTAGTGCAGGTCCTCCGCAAAAAGCATTAAAAAAACAGAGCGCAAAAAAAATTTCGGTGTGATTTTAAACCTTTAAGGTGAAGCAAGTTCCCCTGCACAGAAAATGGGCAAATGTGTTATTATAAACAAATGGTACAAGTACTGTACCTAGCCATGACAATATTTTAACCAACGAAGCGCAAAAATATTACCAAATTTTGAACTAATTCTGTGCCTGTCTTGAGAAAATGACATGAGCTTCTTGGGAAAAAGTTGCAGATCAAAACACCAGGAAAACATCAAATCATAAGCGAATAGTCCAAAATTTCGAGTTTGCAGCTAGATCCTCCAAAATTCCGAATTTATCCATAAATTATAATATTGGCTTGGCTCTATGTTAAAGATCGTACTTCAGATTACGGTAAAATTTGATAACTGATTTTGAGTTAATCGTCCCACACTCCTTACTGAAGTTTTGAGTGTTTCGTTTTTATGCGTTTCTGCATTGTTATACACAGACATCACACAGACATTACACACAGGCATTCTTATGCAAATGCAAAAACACATGTTGGTAAAAGGATGTCTGTGTGTATGTGTGTGTCCGCGTGTTCACATTTTGTCACTCACTTTCAACTTGGCAATCAGAGAAACTAGTAAGCTAAAACTTTCCCGTTTTGAAATTATTATTAAAGTACGCTAGGGTCTTTCATACGGGCGCCTAAAAGAAACGATGTAAATTGTTGTGTGAAAGCGATTTCGGAAACCAGACAAAATAGAAGGCCAAACTTCGACAAGAGCCCTTTACACTCTTGTGTCAGCTAAAGACTTAAAATCCAGCTTTAATGCAAGCTTATTTCACGTGTATGAGCACATCAAGGCTGAGGTTGAGACATCGTAAGCATAATGCTGACTCGGAACTATTGACTGGAGCGCTCTAACTTTACGAGGATATTTGTTTTTCATACATGGGTGTATAGGTATAAAATGAACTTTGGCGTTTGCCTGTGTCGCATTGCTCGGGCACGTCAAATATGTATACAACGAAAAGCGATTTCTCCAAACAGTCATGTTAGAGAAACGAAACTTTACACAGATATTCTACATCAGTGTACGACCGAAATATGTCAAATTCAGTTTTAAAACATGCCTAGGCTTCGCATGCGCACAAGTGAATGTTTCATTTAGGACACTGTGGGCACCCAATTAACTGGATAACCAGGCTGATCTGAAAGGGTTCATGAAGGGGGGAAGAGGAGTGGGGAGGTGAAGGGGAGGGTACATTCATTTGCTGCTCACGTTTAAGCCATCAAACATAACATGAGCTTCTGCCCAGGCATTGACAGGCGATCAAATGTTCAAATTGTAACACCATAGTCACAGCCCAATTGTAAAGGTGATCTCTCTGCAGGTTGGGATCATGCAAAAATATATGATCGCACTGGCAAGCCTAGCACATGGCTACTTGGGTTCCATTTTGGAGTTACATTTGTTCGAATTTGGACTCGGGACGGTAGATCGCGACGAAGAGAAAATGAATTTGATTCAAAGTCATGATGTTTTAACATCAGAATGGAGCAAATCACGTTTTCGGTATGTTTTTATGCAAAGTAGTGCTTAATAACGGTACTACAATACACACCGTGTGAAAAAAAAGTCAATTAAATGAGCAGAGATTTATTAAAGCTGTTAAATCGCTATTTGCCAGCTGATCTCAGAAAAGCCAGCGAAATGCGAAAAACCATCATGGGAAAGAAAAAGACATCTGAGAATATTTATATCTCCGAACTTTTTTCGCACTGATAGGAGATAAAACACCCTCCCGAACGGCTGCACTCCTAACAGACCGATGTGAAAGTGCTGCGAATGACAAAAGTCGGCCCGCCTTATTGAAGCTGTTCGATAAGACGTAAGGACATCCATTCGACACGAGTCATTTGACATCCATTATTCACGCATCGCTCACAGTTATGTGACAGGATATCTATAAGCACTCTCTGTATAGTCCCGTTACCGCTCAAACCTCAGCCTCATTCGTCAAAACTGAAAGCACAGCATCGTTCTCGATGACTACTCTCTTGTACGACAACTGCAGCTTTACAAGACAAGCGATTCGCTGTACTAATGACTTTTGCTAGCTGCAGCTGAGAGACGTATTCCAAGCGCATTCCCTGCGAACATACTTTACTCGCACTTGCGGTTTTGTCTGCACAGTTTTGATTCTTTATTTTTTCTGTTGTAACTTATAGTTGCCAAGCTGACCGACATGGGGCAGTGGAAAAGAGCACTGGTGCCAGGCAGAAGATCAACAGTTCAATTTGTCAGTGGGAAAATCAGTCCCTCCACGCCGTTCATTCATTTCAGTGGCAGTTTGGTACTGGGACATTTCAGAGAGTCAAATCAGTCATGAGCTTGCTTGTAAGTGGCTCTCAAATGAGGGGACCTTGCCAGCGAGTGAATGCTGTTAGCATTTGCTACAGTTCGAGCTATTTCTTGAATGGCACAGCAACTTAGGGAATGTGAAAGCGCAGGAGGTTTTGACTTGTTTGACAATCACTAAATGACCAAGAAATCATCATACAGTAAAACGGCTACCTAAGATGTACTTTTATATTCGTCTACTGTCACGCAAAGATCAACTAAGATGCAAACATTGCAGGCTCTAGTATAAGATAGTAGTTTCTGACTTTCGTCGGGCCGAAGGCATACATTTATACTGCGCAGCGAACATAAGTCGTTGGCTGTAGAATGGATTTTACAAGAGTGGAAAGACAAATGAGAAGTAGAGGTTTGCTTGAGAGCAGAAAAACTGATAATGATAAAAAATGGGACAGGCGAATGAAGGGCAGGCTGATCTTATCGCCCTTCATGACTCATCACAATATTACAATGCGGGAGCAGAGTGAGCAAGGGTGTCCGAATCCAATTCGGATCTAGACGTATTTTTACACTGGCAAATCATGGTAATGCGCTAAGAAAGCGCCATAACAAGCAACAAATTCGCTATGAGCAGCTCTGTTAGATGAGGCGCGAACGAATTCGAGATCGATTGTGATTTCATGTGTTTTAACGTATGGTAGTAATGAAAATCACCTACTTAATGGCATCATCGCTGTCAATTCAGCTGCTCAAGGTGATGGGTCATGATATGACAATCTGTGAAGTCACTTTCACGCTTGAACGTTTAGTTCAGAGGCGACGTCGGCAGGATAAATCCGGAAGCCATGTCCAACAGCAACAATTCACGAAAATCGATATATTGATTGAAATAAAATGATAATGTTTAACTGCTGAGTTTAGTCATCAAAAATATTTTTTGCTCGCTATATATGCAGATTTGTGTTTTATGACCCAACTACATACATGTATATTACATATATCGAGACCGATTGTAATTTCATATGTTTAAACGTATGATAGTAATGAAAATCACCTACTTAATGGCATCGTCGCTTATATAATGTGTCATTTAAAAAAATGCATAATATATATACATTGTATTATATAACATACATTATATGATATAATGTGCGTATATTATGTTGTACAATGCATATTATATATAATGTATACACTATATAGTATAAGTATAATACATTACATTATATAACATACGTTATACACATAATATATACATTATATATAT